CCCCTAACGCGCACATGCAGGAGAAGGGGGGGAGCGGGGTGAAACGAAGAGCTCAAGTGTCGCCATCCACAGACCTGGACGAAGCCTGGGCCAGGACACTGGAGGCCAAACCGTACGCCGAACATGGGAGCCTGCCAGCATCACTCCTGCGGACAACCGAGTGTCCGCACCTGTGGGGACACCTCCCCCTGCAAATCCCAGGCTGGAACGCGCCCAGGGAAACCCCAGGCGAGGCGACAACGAGGGTGGGGAAGAGATAGGGTGATCCAAAGGTGCACAAATCAACATCGCAATGCTGAATCCCAGGGGCCTTAGTCAGACCTCGCACCTCAGGCAGCTCACGAACGGAAGGATCAGAGAAATCACGAGAGATGGGCAAGAAGGGGAGGAAAGGTAAGCAGCAATGCAGACAATCAAAGGCAATTTGCACGGAAGCCTGCACCTGGCAGTTCTGATCCATGACCCACTCAACGTCCTTTTGCTGAACTCCCCTAGCACACCAGGGCGCCGAGCGCGTGCGAACCTGTCTAGCTTGCCTGGTTTCCACCAGCGGTCTCCATGAGCTGGCCTCGGGCTCAAGGAGAACGGCCGCCACTTCGCCAGCAAAGATCCTCCTCCTCACCTCCGCAAGATCCTCCAGAGACGAGGGGGTGCAATCAAAGTGGCAGGACAAGGGGCGAGAGGAGGCAGAGGGAAGGGCAGCCCTCTTGACCGCACGTTCAATATTCCCTTGAACCGTGCTAGGGTGCCCCCAATAGCATAGCTGAGCATTGCTTCGCGCTGGCACGGGCCTAGGCAACCAGGACGCACTAGTCGGGAAATCCTCGGCAGGGAGGGTAATACTCGGAAGTTCAACGGGCATGTCGGGTCTGATTCGAACTAGGGGGCGAAAGGGGGGGCCCGAAACACGCTGTGCAGGCACGTCGGCAAAGGTGTCTCCTTTCCCTCTGCGGCGGTTTGCACCTGCAGCTGCCTTGCGATTCACAATAGCTTGGTCAAGCTCGGTCTGTGTGGGTCGAAGCGGTGAAGCAATCCAAATGGAGAAACACGATTGGGCTCTATGCAAGTGCTTCACAAGCCTGTTCTCATCCCAGAACTGCCAGCAACAGAAGGGACACATAGTGCCCGGCAACCAACTCGGGAGTCTCAGGGGGACGGTGCAATTTCTCGTGGTGAATACTAAGCAATCTGGCGCTGCGCGCCAAGTGCCCACACTCATAGCAAACAAAGCCCAGGCACGGGGACGGCGGAGCATGCGCAGCCTCGAAAGCCTGACCACTTGACGGTTCATCAGGACTGCCCAACGGTGCACGCACAAAGGCGAGAGCGTTAGAGTCCCCTGCCGAAGGGCTGTTGGCCGCATCAAGTGCGCCAACACGGTCCTGTGAACCTGCCAAGTGGGGCGAGTCACTGATGTCGCTGGACTGCGAGTATACCAGCACGTCATCGTCGCTACGTCGTAACCGCATTTCTCGCTGTATGATGTGCGCGAGTCCTATCTTGGTGAGCGACTGCATCAGTTTGCGTCTCCACGTGGCTACAGTTCCATTCACCTTCCAGATCCGCTTGGCTGCTGCAGCAGCCTGGGTGACCAATGAGAGAAACTCTGCTTTCGACTCTCGAGCTAACCTTATAAGCGATGCGTCGTCAGATCCATACGCATCTTCACCAGCGTTGTGAAATCTCCGCATCCACTTTAAATCGTACCTCAGCCGAGCACACCAACCAATGTCCCATGTGACGTCGAGCATCTGGCGTAGCAGTGGCGAGGATGCATGTAAAATCCTTGGCAAAAAACCGCAATCGCGCAATTGATAAAACTTGTTGCAACGGCAGCCGATCTACTTTAATGAGTGTGTCAGTCATGGCAGCATGTATTTCGCTTGAGTTTGTGATCCCCATATTAAGTGCCGTCCTATAAATACTAAGATATCCAGTACAGGCTTTGGCCTCCAGATACTTGGGCATGTCTTCCCACGTACAAGCTGCAAATAGAAACTTTGAACCAGCATATGCCTCCGAGTACCTGACCTTGTGTACGAAATCCAAGGCATTGCAGGATGCGACAACTCGCTTGATGGGTATGAGTGTAGTGCGTGCAGACCTCACTCTTTCAGTGATCTCATCCGCCATGGTGGCCTTGTCGTTGACCCTGGCACCAAGAACTTTATGCGTCCTTACCACTGGCAACTGAAAACCAAATTCTGAGCTAATAAGCGCAGCGCCATCTTTCTTATGATATGTTTGGGCCACGCGACGAGAATATTGTCCGCGGAAAATCATGAGTGCCGCAGTTTTGTTCCAGTTGATTTTGAAACCATGGCTCGAAGCATGAATGTGAATGACTTCAGCTGTCCGAAGCACTTGTGCTGGAAGCTCCGTGGCCTGGCAGGCCGCGAGCGCAGTCAAATCGTCAACAAAAGATGTGCAAGCGTGTGTGTTCATTCTATCTTCGTTTGAGCAGAAATTGGCTACTGACTCAGGGGGCTCCCAAACTTGATGCTCACCCTTCATCTGGGTTTCGATCTTGGTCTGCAGCCTAGCGAAGAGTGTGTTGAAAACGCCGGTAGCTGGTACCGTGCCTGGCCTGCAACCCCTGCCCGAGAGAGCGAAGCACGATGATCCTCGCACTCTCCAGAAACTCCCCGTCTGGCTTTCCCTCACCATCTGAAGCAAGTGCGGCGACATGCCGACGTCATCCAGAGGGGCCTGAGACGCAAGCTCAGCCTCTAACCCTGCCGTCAGGAAGGGGGTCATTTCAAGATCCAGGAGCGCATCTTCGAGCCTATGGGTCTCGGAGGGCAGGGAAAAGCACAGCTGCTTGAGGGCCGAGTAAAGGCAGCATGAAGGTCAACGAACACTCCTCCAGCGGACAAAGGGACCACCCCCATCGCGGTCCAGAACTGCCGCACCATGAGGATGGCCCCTTCTAAGCCTCGGCCTGGTAATCCTCCACACTGAGTCGCAAGTAGAGCCTTGTAAACAAAGCTAAGAGACTGTTGTCTCAATAACTTGTGATGGAGTTTGCCGATCGTGCTGCCCAAGAGGATGTTTCTTTGGTTATGCATGACATCCGCAGCACCTTTTCCCTTATGGAAGAAAACCACCTCACCTGACTTAAAGTCCAAGGGCTCGCGCTGCTGGAGGTTAGTTTTGAGCAGCAAGGGGTACACCAGTCGACCGATCTCCGCCTGCGCAACTCTCCCAAAGTCCCCCACAATGCCATCTAGTCCTGCGGCCTTGCCAGCCGGTGCTTTCCGAAGGGCCCTCTGGGCATCAAGCAACAGGGGGAGGGTTTCAAGGGTAGGGGCAGGGAGGTCAACCTGATCCAGGCTGCACTTGTTATATTCCTGCACAAGTTCACTGTCACCGACCATTCTTGCCAGCTCAATCTGGCCAAAGACCTCTGAGCGATATCAGCAATCTGAACGCGGGTAGTGGATGGGACCCCGTTTTTCATCTAACATGGAGGGGAAGGCCAACGACTTTTTGGGGGGCTTCCCCCCAAAACGCAGGGCCTTGTCTAAAGAGGCCCGTTCACTCGCTGGAATGCGTCCATCAATCGCGATGGTCACATCCTTAATCTGGTCAAGTAGGAACTGTGCACGATCTTCGTGCATGCCGTCGATGAGCCGCGCCTGCGTCGCCAAAAGGAAACCATTGAGAGCGAGCTGAAATATGTCCATATGGGTTCGACCTGCCAAGAATTCCTTGGCCCATTTCAGCACAACCTCACGTTCATGCCCCCACCGAGGAAAGACTCCCAAGCAATGCACCGACAAATCCCCAGTGCTGAGCCTAGCCGCAACGTGTCGCAAAACTCTTCTTCTGTACTCATGACTCCCAAGGGCCTGTTTTACCATGGCTTTCTGAGCCGCCCGACGCATGGCAACGAGGGAGAGAGTGGAGAGAGACAGGTAGCAGGCCCGCGGCCTGCGCTTATCCAACGGAAAGGCATTGGCAGCAGCATTATGCAAGCTTTCAACGACCTGAGTAAGATGCTGGTTGACGCCAGCTTGCCA